GGGGGGGGGCAGAAAAGAAGACGAAAGTCCCGTTCTGCATGCAGTTCACTGATAGAAGATTCCACCCCAGGCATCATCTACTGCAATTCCAGCCCGGCCGCCGCCGACGCCGTCGCCGACTTCGCCCTCGCCATGATCATCTCCACCTTCCGCCACCTCCCCTGGTGCGCCGCCGCCTCCGCCGACCCCACGACCTTCCAAGACTGCCACGCCCGCGCCACCCTCCTCTCGCACACCCTCCGCGGCCAGGTCCTGGGCCTCATCGGCTTCGGCCACATCGGCCAGGCCATCGCCGCCCGCGCCCGCCCGGGCTTCGGCATGGCCGTGCACTACCACGACCTCGTCCGCAAGGACCCCGCCCTCGAGGCCCGCCTGAGTGCCACCTTCCACCCTTCGCTCGCCGACTTGCTCCGCCTCGCCGACTGCCTCGTCCTCTGCACGCCTTCGACCGGCGATGGCCGCCCCGTCATCACCGCTTCGACGCTGCAACGCTGCAAGCCGGGTGCGCGATTCGTCAACGTTGCCCGCGGGGGTCTCGTTGACGAGGAGGCCCTGGCTGATGCCCTCGAGAGCGGGCACCTCTCCAGCGTGGCTCTTGACGTGCATGCGTCCGAACCGAATGTGAATCCCCGCCTGGCTGCCTTGAGAGGGGACAGGGTGCTGCTGACCTGCCATAATGCCGGCGGTACGGTCGAGACCCATGCCGGGTTTGAGGATCTGAGTATGCGGAATATCATGGCCGTCTTGGGAGGAGGGGAACCTATTACGCCTGTCAATTTGGAGTTTCTGCGCCGGAGTTGAGGTTCTGCAGTACGGCTTGGTAAAAAAAAATTTTTTTTTTTTTTTTTGGCCCACGGCGTTTCGGTTTCTCTTAGGGGATGTGGGCGATATGATACACTGCGCTTGTTTGACGATTGTCAGATGAGTGAGTTTTTTCCTTGAGTTAATTTTCCTTGCGACTTATATATAAGCCCCTTGGTTAGTACGCCTTTGATCTTGGGATCTAAGAATCCAAGTCTCAACTCCGATGGTTGGAGGCCACCGTCACGATAGCTGTGGACGGATGGTGCAAGCAACAGACCAACAAATGTCTTCTTATTTGTCGTCACCCAAGATGGTATCCCTGAAAGATGAAAGCAACGCCATCCTCCCTTACCAGAGGAATCCCACCCAAATCTTTCCCATCCAGTGGTTACGGGGTATCCGGTCCCAACGCCACTGCTATCGTGCCAAAAAAAAAAAAAGCAAAAAGAAAAAAAAAGAGACGACGACTCCTCATAAGAACCACGCAAAACGGAAAACAGCGTCACTGCTTCGCCTTCTTTCGCACCAGTCCAGCGCTCAACACATTCACCTTAGCCGGCTGCCCCGCCCCGTCCTCTCCAGCCCCGTGACCCCTCTTACGCTTCACAAGACCCGAAAGGTCGTTGACGGACGCACCGGTCGCGGTTATTGGCGTCCCGCCGCTTGACGCCGCTGCCGACACCGCCGACACCGCCGACTCGCGCATACCAACCACTTCCACGACCCAGCTTTCTCCCATGCCAACCTCGCTCACCCACCGCTTCGTGCTGCTCCTGGCCCGGTCCAGGGTGGAGAAGTCCAGGTGCAGGAGCAGTTCGATGGACCGCTTGTAGTCCGACTCGCCGACGACCCTGCGGCCCCTCCCCTCGGCGGGCCAGCGGTAGTAGGCTGTCGAGGATGGGCGGTCGAGGAGGTAGTTGCGCTGTTGGGTCTTGATGTGAGGCTGTCGAGGCTCGATGGGCCCTGTGAGGCGCTTCTTCCGCTTCTTTTTCTCGCCCGCGCGTTTCGTCTTGGAAGGCGCCCCATGGGGGGTACGTCCTGATGTAGAGGTGGGGAATAGTTTCCGAGGAGTAGAGTACGACGTGGTTGGCCTTCCCTGGGCGTTCTTGGGAGGGGTGGAAGGCGGGCTTGGCGCCGCTGTAGCGTTCGACGCGGCAGCGGTTGGAGCGCTCGATCCCTTCCCGTCACCCCCTGGCTCAAACACGACCCAGATAAACCCGGTAAGACGACCGCTAGAGCATTCCTGCCGAAAGGCCATCATCTCCCAGAACTGGTCGAGCGACCTGACGCTCTTCCACATGCCGCTCGTCCGCAACAGCTTGGACCTGTTGGCCTCCTCGTCGAGCTCGTCGCGGTATCGCGATTTGGGGTCGTCGGGAAAACTCGGAATGAGGCATCGAGCGGGAACCCAGTCGTACTCTCGTGTGTAGTGAGAGATCTTCTCCAGGGGGTGGCTCAGCACCCAGCGCGACTCGCCGTCCGGGGCTCGGGGGAGGAAAGCCCGCATCTCGTACTTGTCCAGGCCCGGCACGACGAGGTGGCCTTTGACGTCGGCCCAGGATCCTCCCGTGGACGAGATATCGACGAGGGGATGGAGGACGCGACACCACCACTTGACCAGCCCCCGGTCGTCGAGGACGTGCTTGGATTTGTTTTGTACGCTGAGCGGGAAAAGGTATTGGTCTTGGGCGCGGGCAAACAGGCTGACGACGCACTGGAGCCCCTTTCTCCTGCGGTGCTGAACGAGGTATGCTAGGATGGTCGTGCAGATTTCTCTGATGGGAGATGGGGCGCCCTTGGGGAGGTCGAGGAGGGCGAGGTAGCCAGTGGAATCGGCCTTGGAGACAAAAAAGGTGCTGGAATAAGCAGTCGTGTAGATGAGTATTTCGATGGCCAGGATGAGGACGTGACCGGGTGTGACGGCGGCGCCGGTGGTGGTGGTAGTGTCGGGGCCATTCTTACTGGCCGTGTTCGCATCAATGGTGACGGCTAGGAAATGGTTCTCGCAGTACGTATTGTCTTCTCGTTCGCCGGGAGGAGCAGAGCAGAGAGCATCGGTTTGGGTTGGGGGCGTCGAAAGGTGATGGATGCCAAACTGATAGCCCTGGGGTAGGACCTTGGAGAGTTGGTCAGCCAGGGACGAAGCCTCGCCCTTGGTGACGGAGTGGATGGACATGGTGAGGCGTTGCAAGGCGCGGTAGTGGCAGGTCTTCTGCTATAGAAGCATGATGAATTGAGAGGTAGCTATAGTCGTTATGTTGTGAGATGGGAAGAGACAAAGAAGAAAAATATGGTGGTTGTAAAATATTATGAAGTGCCTTAATGAAGGGAGGAGGGAGAACGGACACGGACACGAAGGGACGCGTTGGGGCTCACGAGGGTCAAAGGCTGTCTATTACGTAATTACTGAATTGAGACGTTGAGACCCACCGGGCCTTCCTCTCCAATTGACACTAGTACGGAAGTAGCTAGACCAGAGTCTAGTAACCGGCTTGGGTCACCGCGAACCCACGTGACTTCGAGCTACCAATTGACGAAGAAAAAAAGTCCTCTCCATGAACATCTCCTTTAACATTTGGTCGCAGAGAGAGAGAGCTCCCTCCGTGCATCTTCGAGCTCACCACTAGTAACAGCAACATTATACCCGCTGCTAAAGCCGATCTTTTCTTTTCGTTTCCCGAAACTCATGTATTACTAGACCCTCGGCCCGTCCTTCTTTCTTCTCTTCACCCACGATGGCGACCAACGGGTCCCGATCAGCAGCAGTCGCCGCGACAAGACTGGTCTTCCGGCACGCCCGACAGACGCGCATCACACCACCTTCCCCGGCCCTGCAGTGCGCCGCCACCGCCGCCGCCGCCGCCCGCCGGTCCTTGACCACCACCACAGCATGCCGAGCCCAAACCGAGAGCGCCAAGAAGATCGACGAGCTCTCCCGCAAGGTCGAGGAGGCCGAGCGGCCCGAGGAGGTCAAGAGGGAGCGCCCGCGGTGGTCCTACACGCCCGAGGCGATGAAGGCGCCGTTCTCGCCGCACATCACCAAGAACCCGGCGCGGAGCGTGTGGAGGGTCAATGAGGACCCCAAGAAGCTGGACCAGATGTACGTGCGCCTCTTGGGGCGCGACGGCGACAAGCTGCTGCCGGAGGAGGTCAAGTGGTTGGCTGTGACGCATAAGAGTTTTGATTACGGGAGGAGAGGATTCAATGATCGGCTCGCGTTTTTGGGTATGTTTTTCTTTCTTTCTTTCTTCTTTTTTTCTTTTTTCCCCTTCGTCTTTCTTTTCCCCCTCTTCCTTTGATTGATTGGTCTGACCGCTCTCGTCTCGTCGCGTCTACAGGCCGCCAAGCCGTTATTCTCGAAGTCGCCCAGAACATCATGTCCAGCGCCCCCAAAGAGGGCGCCGTCGTTCCGGATGAGCACGGCCGGGAACCGTTCCAGCATCAGGTTCTTTCCAAGCTCGACAACTTCAACGTCCAGCAACCGAGCGACATCCTTTCGAGGGAGAAGGTGGAACGGTTGGCTCTGGATGTTGGTCTCGATAAGGTGTTGAGGTGGAAGCCGAGATTGGTAAGACAGCCCATCTCTCTACCTCTTCATACGGGCGTCATATTAACACTCTTTTCCCCCTTTTTTAGCCCGAAAATCTGGCCGGCTCCGGTATTCAGGTCGTGCTGAATGGCGCTGTGCATGCGATTGTGGGAGCTATCTCGCTCCATCACGGTGCCGAGGTGGCGGGGAAGATTGTCAGGGAGAGGATACTGGCACGGGTAGCCCTCCAATAGGCGGACCACCTAAGTAAAAAAAGAAAAAGCATTGGGTAGGTGGACCATGTGTATCATAGGTGTACAATATAAGGGGGACCGAGGGTGTTCCCAGTCGAGCTCTTCCTAGAGGACATTGTATGTACATTAAGGAATATGACAAAAAGGATTCTTTAATGGGCTTTTCTCTTTTTTTTATTTGGCTTCTTTCGCTAAACAGAGAGCAGTTGAAAACTTTCCAGTCAGTGAGCCAGTCAAATCAGAAAACATTCTAGATGCCCAGGCCGGTTACAAGTCATGTCATGTCACGTCACAGTCCGCACCACACTCCCCAGCTCCCCCTTCTCCACAGCCTCGACCCGCGGCCTCACTTTATCCCAAACCCTCTCCGCCACCTCCTCGACACTGGCCCCCGCATCCACGACCACCAGGTCCTCTCCCTCCTGCCGAAACGCCCGGTCCGCCCGCCGGTCCTCCTCGCCCAGCGTCCCGTCCGCGCCGATGCGACCCCGCGCGAGCCCCCGGAACAAGTCGCGCACGCGCCCCTGCATCTCCCCGCGCTCGTACAGCTCGCCGCCCCAGCCGCCCCTCGCGCGCGCCGTCGCCTCGTCGAGGTCCAGGAAGAGGACCATGTCCGGCCGGGGCAGGCCCAGCTCCGGGGCGCGGGCCCAGGAGAGCGACAGGGAGGGGTTCTGCTTGGCTGCTGAGTAGACGATGCCGGAGTGGTAGTACCGGTCGCAGAGGATGGTGGTTCCCGAGGCTAGGAGGGTACCGATTGTTTTTCTGTGAGAGAAGGGGGAGGGGAGGGGGGCGGGTTAGAAAGGGGACGATGGGAGGGGTTTAAGATACAAAACGGAATGGGACTTACGCTGCTTCCCACCGGTTAGCGCTGAAGAGGAGATGAATAGCATGGTCATCCATCTCGACCGAGCTCTTAAGATAGGCGTCTATCATTTGTCCGATGTGCGTGGTCCGGTCTGTATGATATATATCAGAGCATGTGAGCCGCCGTTCATCGTCGCCGGGGAGGGGGGTTCCAACTCAGGGCTTCGCACTCACCAGGGAACCTCCAGACTTTAACTTTCCGTCCCTCTTCCACAAACCGTTGCTCCAACAGCTTCACCTGCGTCGTCTTCCCACTACGGTCCAACCCTTCCAGGACGATCAGGGCCCCTCGCTCGGCTGCTGGTTCTGGGGCTGCTGTGGGTGGTGCATCATCGGTTGATGCTGTCCCTGAAGAAGCAATGGCTGCCGCAGCTAAATCGTTGATAGAAGCCATTGGTTTAGTTTTCGAGCCCACCTCATGGGTGTCCGTCCGGAGAAAATGATCTCGTTACTGAGCGGGCACTCATGTAGTGTTGGAGCTCTCACAGAGAAAGGTGGGATGAGATTAGAGCACGGGGTACCTTAGGTAGTGAGTACTCCGTGGGGTGCACTAGATCGCACTGTTGCTGTACGTACCGTGGGCCTAGGCCAGGTCAATTCGGCGATTGCGAGACGGTTGGAGTGGAGTCCTACGGAGCCGAACAAGACCGAGCCCGATTCCCCTGTTGAGGTCTAAGGTACCTCACATTACAGTGTCCGGTAGGTGCTATGAAATCGCGGTATATTTGATCCAAGTCTTTGGGATGCGACACTCGGGTGCGAAATGCGAAATAGAGAAGAGTATCTCTTGGTGAGTGAATTATCAAGGGCAGGACGAAGAAGAAGAAAAGATAAAAAAAAAACACATTTCCTGGAAAGTCACCCAGATCGCGGCGCATTGCAAAGCCATCGACCAAAAGTTCAACATATTAAGGTTAACTGCCGCATTGCGGCATCCAGAGTCAGGTCAAGATACGGAACTTACACCTAACCAATCCAAACAACCTTGTTGAAACAAGAACAACCAGGTGAAGATATATACAACCCAGACCAAACCCTCATTTGACCCAGCCGGCTCCAGCTAATAAACGCCCCCAGTACCCGCACTGAATTCATTGACCCAACCAAGACGAGACATCAAAAGCGTACACTCATCAGCAAAATAAAACCTGGAAAAAATCATAAGACCAAACAAACACACAAAGTTCCCCCCAGGGGCTCAATCATGAAGTGGCCGTCGCCGGCTGGGCCTGAACTCCATCGTCGTCGGCGCTCCCGCCTTCCCAGAGCTCGAAACCTTCGCCAGTGCCCTCAATGGGCTCCAACACAGCGGCCTTGGCAGCCGGCTCGTTTGACTCGCTCATCAGCTCGTCCACTACATCCTTGCACGTCTCCTTCGTCTCATTCCCCGACACCCCACCCAAGTCGGCCTCCGGTGGTGGTGCCGGGTCGAACGAAGCGGGTGCTGGCGTAGGTGCGACATCGACCCGAGCCTGGTCCTCAACGTCGGTCTCGACCTCGTCTTCGTCTTCGTCGCCGGGCACCAAGATCGCCGAGTTCTCGTCACACCCCGCCGCGTAAAACGCAGAAGCATCCATCTCCCCCAGCGCCATCCTCTGCTTCTCGACCGCCATGTCGTCCTCCTCGAGGGCGTGACGAGCCGACGGGACGGCCCGGCCAGACGTAGTCTGACTCACGTCATCGGATGGCGGGATGTTCTCCTTATCGCGCCCCTCGGCCCGTTCGCGCGTCGCCTTCTCCTCGCTCTCCTCGTCCGAGCTGATGTCGAGCACGCAGGTCGAGTGCTGCAGAAGGTTCGTCATCTCCTGCTCGGGAGTGTCCTCGTGGATGTCGAAGAACCAGGACGCCTTCATTTCCGGCGCGCGGAGGTCGTGGTCCAGCCTGGAGCCCCGCTTGCTGGAGCCGGCGGCCCGGGCAGCGGAAGAGGAAGTCGGGGTGGCTATGGACTGGCGAGCGGCATAGCTGGGGATGGTGCCTTTGAGGGCGGCGTCGAGGCTAAATGGCGCCGCCGCCGAGGAGGAGGAGGAGGGGAAAGAGGAGGAGGCTGCGCTGCTGAAGAGGGGCGGGTCGACGCGAGAGTAGGGACCGATGTGACGGCGGTGGTTCGAGAGGATGCCGCTACGCTTGCCGCGGGTGGGGGAGCGACCGGCCGGGGCGGAGAGGGGCGGGGAGGAGGACTTGGTGATGGATGTGGTGAGTTTCGCGGCGGGCGACCTGGGCTGGGGCACAGCCCGCCGACGACGCGGCGAGGTCAACGAAAAGGCAACGGAGGGTTTGTTGGGTGTGGAAAGGCTTCCGACGATGTGTTTGAGCGGTGTGGATGTCTTCGTCAGGAGATAGGACGACGGCTTGAGAACATCCTTGGACAGCGGAGTGTTGTTACCCTTGGATCGCTTAAACACGCTGGGGTCAACATTTTCCGAGTCATCCGTGTCAACCGGGTCGGCCGCCTTCCGTTTAGCTCCTGAAGAGGGAGGAAGGGCTTGATGGAGGGTTAGCTGGGGCAATTGACAATGGATGAGATGGAGCGACGTCAAGCCCGCAAGCCCGCAAGACGACCATACATACCATTCTGTCTGTTCTTCAAGCTGGTCAAATTCTGCAGACGCGTCCCATCGAGGGGAGCGAAAGGTTGACGAGTAATAGTTGCCATGGTCCGTACTCTTTTCAGTGAAGATTGGGTAGCAATGGAGATGTGTTGTACGAAAGTGCAGTTGTCCCGGGAGAGGCAACCTTTCGAGCCCAATTGAGAGCACAAAGTCCGGTCCAGAAATCCAACGAGTCCCGCGGCCTTGCTTTCGTTGCTGGACGAATGCCCGGAGCCGCCCAAGTCACAAGTGCAAGATGTCTCTTCGGTACAGTGAATGATAGTCGGCTCTAGAAGCAGGGAACGTAACGTTGAACACCGGCGAGTACGGGTGCACAAAAAGAACGAATGTGATGCGCTGGACTTGTTGTTGTTGTTGTTTGTTTAGGTATTTGACCCTTCTGTGGATTCAGGCGGTAATGAGGGATAGGATGCTTTTAGGCAGTGGTGAGGTGGATATGCAGAGGGAGAGGGGAGGACAACAGGTTTGGGGGGACGAGAAAAGGGGGATGAGGTTATGGGAGGGGGGAAGGAGAGGATGAAAAGAGAGCTGAGGGGAATGAGGATGCGTGTAAGGTAAAAGCAAAAGGTAAAGAGGTAATTCGTTCATTACGAATGGTACTGGTACTTCGTAGAGTGTAGGCGCCGCGACGTGGGAGAGGGGAGGGACGACACGGAGAACGCGGTGTGTGGGGGCGATAGTCACGGTGGAATGGGACAGGGAAATGGGGAATGGATCGGCACGGTGCAGAATAGTGTCTCATACGGAGTTGCCAAGTTGCCATACGCGGATGTGTATCCGTAAAACCTGGTACTCCATATAAGAGTCCCCTTGAAAAGAAGAAGAAAATAGTAGGACATGATTTAATTGACCGATATAAGCAAGAGTTTAACGATGCACGAGAGCAAAGCGAAGTCAGTAAAGGGAGGAGCTCAATAATACACTGTGCGTCGGACCCGGGAACAGAGACATAAGACCAAGACCAGAGACGCGTAAAGAGAACGGAGACGACTGGCTATTACCGTGTACCTAATTAAGGTACGAAGTAATTTACACGATCAGACACGTCTGTCGCGGTACTTTAAGTGAGGATGAGGAAGTATACCTACCTTAGTGATCAAGGTGATCAGGGCACTTAGCGGACGTGATAAAACAAGCCCCGTTGCACAAACGGCTTAAACGGTTGGCTGTTTCTAATGTCTATGACGGACGTTGCTGCAGGCTGTGCTTGGATGAATCAAACCCGACATTAGAACGCTGATGCGAGAGAGCCTCTGAGAGTTGTGATTTGTTGACCAAGATGACTTCGATAACGCCCTTACATGAGAGGCCTGCAGTAGCGAGGCACAAAGTTGAATTAGCATGGAAAATATTAATGCATCCACGGAGTAGGGTTTTTTTCTGCTTTTTTCTTCTTCCTCTTTTTTCCCCCCTTTCTTATATATATATATTGAGAAGAAAAGACATGTGTAAACTGTATGGCTACGAAACAATTCAAGCACAGACCTAGGGAGTAATTACTTCGGTCTTCCATGTTGGGCGAAGAGCTCTATTACTCCGTAGGTCCCAATTGAAAGCGACGCGTTGGCCGAGAACGAGACCACTTGGTCCTGTATCTCGGTACGAGCCCCTGTCCAACGAACGCCAACGCGTCGTTACTTTTCCAGGTCGTGGTTTAGCCGCGTCGCCCCGCCCAAAGTCGCATCACCGGTGCTCGGTAAGGTACCTAAACAAATAATCACAGTACTCCGTGTGAATACTGTACAGAGTATCCTTATTCCGTAGCCCGATTCCCTGGACCTGCCCTAAAAGGTACCTACTAACCTGGTATATATCCGTGGGCTATCCTCCTTTATACTTGACCATCCCTTCCGAAATGCCCTTATGCCCTTCGTCGATCAAACTTGCGACGTGCTAAAAGGGCCATTTCTCTTAAAACACCATCTGCATAGTTGCCTTTTCCCTCCCCATTCCTCCTGGTGGCCTGCTGTGGCCATTGTGACCACACTCCGTACCGCCGGTTTTGCCACTTCAAGCCATAAAGAGGACTTCATAAGCCCGCCTGACCGGCTGAGACCGGACTGTCTCTGTGGAAACTGCCTCAGGTCTCGGATCTCTGGTGCTTCTGCTGAAGCATCCCATGTACAGGAGAGTATTGATAGACCGAGGCGAAGGAGGATCCTATCAGTGACCACTGGCTAGTATGAGACCCGTCTTGCCTCTCTGAAACCAAACCACCAGCTCAACCGCGGATTCGTGAAGGCACTTTCGTAGTTCCGCCAGGCTACGGCTATTTAACGAAGATACCTCCTATAAGTGTGTGTCCAAGAGAGGGCACTGGCTGACCGACTAGCCTGGGCTTGGGCTTTTATTCCCGTCCTTGTTTTTCCCACTTCGCGGGTGGCCTTGGCCTCTGGCCGTGATAAGGGGGTCGCGTTCGCTGCGACCTCCTGCCCCCTCACTTCGTACTCAATGCACCGCAACATACTGTTGGCTTTCCCCGTTTCCCCGCGCCCATTGGTTTTCTTGTCAAGCATGTCAGACTGACTCTCACCCAAGGAGGCGGGCGTTAATACTCGGTGCCTACTAAAATGCAAAAGTTCATTTATTGTTTGGCCATGTCGGAATCTTATTAATTGCTTCCCTTCCCGACCAGCTGAAGACCCAAACCTCACTAACATGCTGTCATCGGCCGAATGCTATCTGGTATCAAACATGGCCAGAGAGACACAGTTAGACATTCCCACACCAAAAGACGAAGCAAGTCCAACGTCTTATCTAGCCTCGCCACGTCCATCCCCCCATATCCAACCTTACATGCCCCCCCCCCCCTTTCAAGTTTCAACCCAGTCCTAGTTCGTGGCTGTGTCACCATTTCTGGGACCAGCCAACCCCATAAATGATAACCGCGACATCTGCAGTAGACCTGGGACAGGCAAAGTTGCCAGTAGCAGTAGGGCAACCGTCCGTGACGCAGTAGAACCTCGCAAGACAAGTCATCTCTCCCCCTCTCTCTATTCGTCTCATTTATACACGAAAATAAAATCCCTTTTCATTACCCTAACCCCCCCCTCGTTCTCAAGCAGAACCCTACTTGTCTTCCAACGACAGCTTGCCAACTTCGGCAGCAGCGGCAACGTCCGCCGTAGCACCCGCCGTCTCTTTCCTCTCCTGGGCGTCCGGCTTCTGGCCCGCCGCCGCCTCCGCCTCCGTCTGCGCCTTCTGCTGCTGCTTCTTCTCCTTATCCTTCTGCTTCTTGGCCTTCTTCGCCGCCGCCTTCTCCGCCTGCAGGGCCTTTTGCCGCTTCAGCTCCTCGCCGCCGTACGCCAGCTGCCACTCCTCGATCTTCGCCGTCGGGATCGGCGTGAACAGCGGCGACGGTGTGCCGATGACGTGCCCGGCCGCCGGGAAGCTGAAATCCCACGTGTCGGGTATCCGAGTAGCCGACGACGACGCGTCGAGGCCGAGCTGCCGCAAGATGGCGGCACTGACGCCGGGCATGTAGGGGCCCAGGAGGTTCGCCATGAGGTAGACGTGGCTGATGGCGACGCGGATGACGGCCTTGCAGCGCGCCGGCTCCTCGCTGAGGAGGCGGTTGTCGAGCTTGTTGGCCTGCAGGAACCGGTTCCCGAGGTTGGAGAACTCGAGCATGTCGGTGACGCCGGCGCGCAGCTTGGTCCCCTCGAGATGCTCGATGTAGGTGGCCAGGACGTCGTTGGCCTGCTTCTTGTGGGTCTCGATGAGGTCGTTGGTATAGTCCGAGTCCGGCACGATGCTTTCCAGCTTGGCCTGGCAGAACTTGAGCGTCCGCTGGACCAGGTTGCCGACGTTCTTGAGCAGGTCGTTGTTGTTGGTGTCGACGAACTCCTCCCACTTGAACTCGGTATCGGAGGACTCGGGGCGGCGGGCCAGGAGGTAAAACCGCCAGATGTCCGGGTCGATGCCCGTGTCCTTGGCATTGTGTCCGAAGACGCCGACGCCGCGCGACTTGCTGAATTTTCCGTTCTCGTAGTTCAGGTACTCGGTGGCCGAGATCTTGTGCACCTGGGTCCATCTCTGGTTCGTGCCCAGCTGAGACGCCGGGAAGACGATGCTGTGGAACTGCACGTTGTCCTTGCCCTGGAACTGCATCAGCTGCACGTTGTCCGGGTTCTTCCACCACTGCTCCCATTTCCGGCCGTTGAGGTCAGCGCCGTCGGTGTAGGTCTTGGTGATGGACACGTAGCCGATGCAGGCGTCGAACCAGACGTAGAAGACCTTGCTGCGATACTCTTCGGCGCTCAGGCCGTCGACTTCGGGGATGGGCACGCCCCAGCGGAGATCTCTCGTGATGGCGCGGGGCTTCAGGCCCTTGTCGATCCACGCCTGGGTGATGGCCAGCGCATTGGCGCTCCAACCGCCCTTCTTGCTCGCCTCGGCGTACCAGGCGGCGACGCGTTCCTGTAGGGCATCGAGGCGGAGGTACAGGTGCTTCGTCTTGCGCTTCTCCGGGGTGGCACCGTCCACCTTGCAGCGCGGATTGATGAGCCAGCCCGTGGCCCTGGCCTCGTCGGCCTGTGCGTCTTCGCCGGTCGGACTACCGGCCTCCGGTTCGGGCTTCAAGGGGTCCAGGATCGAGCCGCAGCCGTCGCACTGGTCGCCCCGCGCGTCGGGGTAGTGGCAAATGGAGCACTCTCCCTCAATGAAGCGGTCGGCAAGGAACGACTGGTGGGTTTCGCAGAAGGGCTGGACAGTTTCTCGCTCCTCGATATATCCGTTCTCCCAAAGGTGGCGGAAGATCTCGTGGACGACCTCTCTCTGGTGTGCCGTCGGTGTGCGGTCGAAGATGTCAAAGTCGACTTGGAACCAGTCGTAGATGGATTTGTGGAGAGCATGGTACTTGGCACAGAGGGTTTCGGGGTCGACGCCTTCTTCGAGAGCTTTCGTTTCGGTAGCAGTGCCGTACTCGTCCTGTTCATTGCCGGACTGTTAGTAAGTGGAGGAAGGAAGACAAAGAAAAGAAGAAGTTAAAAAGAAGAAAAAAAAAGAAGGGGGGGGGGCACCGCACCGAACCGCAGATGAAGAGAGTCTGGTAATCGCGGGCCCTGCAGTAGCGAGCAAACACATCGGCGGAGAGGACACTGCCGATCACGTTTCCTAGATGCGGCACATTGTTCACGTAGGGCAGGGCGCTGGTGATGAGGATGTTGCGCTTCCCAGGCACGGGAAGCACCGGTTCTGAGGGAGTCTTCGTGCCGTCCATGAGGCGGGAGGGAGTGGGGTTTCCAAAGAGCGAAAGAGCGAAAGCCGGAACAAATGACAAAAATAGAAGGAGCCCTCTCTAGACTTGGCTTCGGCAACGGAAGAAGACACAAATCGCTCGAATGTAAATGCCAGTGAAATGCGTCTAAGATGTGCTGCTGTGCAGTTCAGGGGAAAAGACGGAGACTGACGAGAAGAGTGAGAAGAATAAGAATTATCGCAAACATGAGTCAGAGGAGTCGGGGAGTCACGTCTGGTCTGGACCTGAGTACCATCGTGTACTTGTAAGTTTCCGTATCTCAAGGTAGGTAAGGTACCTATCGTGCCTGCTGGCTTATCGGAATTACCCCGCTATCAGATTGGACGGTTTCACGGTTGCTGCCCTTGCCGTTGCCGTTGCCCCTCACCGGGAAAGGAACCTTACCTGAGAAAGGTACGGACCGCCATATTAAAGTGCGAAGAATGCGGAGTACCCGTATATCACAAAATTGCCGGTGGGAAATGGGAATCGAGTAAGGTACAGGACTTTTATCATTTCCGGGGGTATCAACTATCAATAGCAAGCACACAACCGCCCAGACTCCAACCACTAAATATTACATTACACGACACATCATAATATGATAATCCCTTCTCTGCCGTTTCCGTTCTCCCGTCAGCGACAGCGTCCCTTCAACTAGACGTGACCACAATGGCGGGAGGTGGTTGACGAAGATGCCACCTCTGATCCACGGCGTCGTCACTCTCGACCGTAGAACCATAGTCGCTGACAGAGTTGTTCCGATGCACTCCCGTCTCCACCGCGAGCTGTTCCCAGTCCCGAGCCCACGCAGTTCCCGGCGGCGGGACGTGGCACGGCTCCGGCATCATGGGCCTGTCGGGTGTCTCGCTGCCCACCCTCGACTGCGTTTCTTCTTCCAAGATGGTGGAAACCCTGTTGCAGGGGACTGGGACGGCTCGTTTCCTGGAGCTGCTCGAACGACTACAACGGCTGGAACGGCCGGAACGGCCGGAACCCCCCGAAGAGACTGAGTCTAGGGTCATGGTCCGGCAGTGGTGTCCGATGGTCGGCTCGCATTTGAAATCGTCTTCGAAGGAGCGGACCAGACATGTGACGGTCGACTTGCGTGGTGTAAAGGGGAGCTCGAAAGGTTTGGTTGTCATCTCCATGGTGAACACTAAGATCGCCAGACAGGTCCTAGAACCCCTGGGTTTAGTACACAGCAACCATGGCCGAGCAGAGATGAAGCCTGAAGGGGGAGGACGAGAGGGAAGCTCACACGCCAAAGGTGGCAAGCGCAAGGTTGGATCGGGTGATCACCGAGTTTGACTGGGGATGAGATACGGTAATCGCTGTCAAGACCAAGGTCACCACCCAGAGAATGAGGCTGATTCGGGCCAGGATGACCGCCCAGGACACGACGGGCGCCTGGAGAGATTGCCGTGAGCTTTGGTAGTTGCCGAAAGACACAATGATATGCAGGAATAGGTAGAGAGGGCTGATCAGGGACTATCTGACTGTCAGCTCACAAGTTTTCGCGAAAGCAGATTCTCATTCGCTTGTGACGGTTTGTCATGCTCAATGCTCATCGACTTTTGACATACAGAGAACAGAACGAAGCTCTGGGTTACCCCCGTGCCTCTCACCGTCGATGGCTGCTTGAACTCGACGGCCGAAGTGCTCAAACCGCCAATAGACGCCAACAGCAGGAAGAAGAGAACCGAAAGAAGGATAAGGTTGAAGGGCTTGGGCTGGGTGAGGAGAGAGTTTGCACTCCCTGACATGGACGACTTGGTCTCGAGAGATTCCAAGCTATCGGACATGGAGTCCACTTCGTTCTTCATGCGACCCATGACGGGAAGAATTGGGGATGATGTGATGCGACCGACGGTGATATGAATGACCGGGAACAAACATTGTAGCAAGATTGGGGGCCTATTCCAACTGATGATATTCATATACTCCGTAATCCGGGCTCCGTACGCGCATGGCGTGTGCGTGTGCTCATCGACCTTAGGGGGCTGGCAATATTGAAGGCGGCGGTCGAAAGCCAACATGTGGCGAGTAACGAGAGTAACGAGACGCCCATTCCTTCCCCAGAAGACAAAAGAAAATTCACGACGACAGTGTGCCTACACTAACGCCTCCATTGTCTCGAGCTGGGCTGAATGACCTCCTCTAGGAATGCAGTGGACCCCGGCGTAGTTGGGGGGGTCGGTCTCTGTACGGGGTGTGGAGGGGGGAGGGGCGAGGGACGAGGGCCGAGGGTCGAGCCCACATTCCAGTGTCGGCCGGGGAGGGGACGAGGCGCTTGATTCTTGAATGTGTACGTGTGGCAATTTGCCAGAAGCTTTTCTCTCCCATTAATCGCAAAGATCGGAATGAATCGCATAGAAATGGCAACAGTAAACCACCCGAATCCGGAAGAATTAATAAGGTAGCTAGTACGGTGTACCTAGTAACTTCCAGCCCTGAACGGTCGGATACGTCGGTGCTTCTCCGGCTGCCCGGTACATCGGAGGGCTCCACTGACCTGACCCCGCGACCGTCCACGACCTCGGCGGGGAAACACGTACCTTGAGGAAGGAAGTTGCAGTGGCACGCACTGCACATCGTACATGTAGAAGTTACATATACATTAGTCAGTACGGAGTACGGTGCCTTAAAACTCCGTCGCTTCTTCCCCCACGTGACCAGGCGGAGATTCGGTGCCATGAGCAACTTTCAAGAGGAGTGTCGGCGCGATACTCCGGGCTTCCCCATCTCGTTAGACGTGATGGTGGGACTTTTTATCCGACTTGACTACGTAAATCACGAATACCAACTGCGGAGTATGGACAACTAAGAGGAAAAAATGTAGGCAAATACCTGATTCAAAAAAAAATCGTGGGGGACTAACACGAACAGTCACAAAACATCTCCCCCGCTCCGTAGAACAACAAGCTTATAAACTCGACAACCTATCCAAGATTTCAACTACACATTCCCCCCCACCCCTCTCTCTAACCCCTCCCCTCGGCCCCTCACCCCATTTCGACCCTTGCCTTTGCCGTCTTCACATACCTATTGTCCAGTTCACCATGGCGGAAAAGCCTACACTGCGTTGGGGCATCCTCGCCACGGGGATGATCTCCTCCTGGTTCGTCGCCGACCTCTCCCTCGACCGCCAGGACGCCCAGGCCAACCACGTCATCCAAGCCATCGGCTCCTCCTCGCTCGAGAAGGGCAAGGCCTTCGTGGCCGAGCACCTTCCGGGTAAGTCCCCCACCGTCTACGGCAGCTACGAGGAACTCTACGCGGACCCGGAAGTCGACATCATCTACATCGGCACCCCGCACAGCTTCCACAAGCAAAACTGCCTCGACGCCATCCGCCACGGCAAGAACGTCCTCTGCGAGAAGGCCTTCGCCCTGACCGCCCCCGAGGCCTGCGAGGTCCTCGACGCCGCGCGGGAGAAGGGTGTCTTCATCATGGAGGCCATGTGGACGCGCTTCTTCCCCATCGTGCGCGCCCTGCAGCAGAAGCTCCACGAGGAGAAAGCCATCGGCGCCGTCCACCGCGCCTTTTGCGATTTCTCCTTCGACATGAAGATCCCGTCCCTCGGCCCCGCGTCGCGCCTCAAGAACCCGGCCCTCGGCGCGGGTACCCTCCTCGACATCGGCATCTACAGCCTCACCTGGACCATCCTGGGCCTGGAACCACCCCTGGGCCCCGCCCCGGCCCGCGCGGCCCCGGAGAAGACACCCAAGGTCGTGGCGGCCCAGTCGCTGGATGACGGCGTCGACGTCGCTACCACCATTGTCCTGCTCTACGAGGATGGCAGGCAGGGCATCGCTACCGCCCACGCCACCGTCAAGAGCCAGCGGGACTTTGCGAGGATCGAGGGCAGCGAGGGTACCGTCATCGTCGAGGGTGACGCTGCGGCCGTGCCGAGCTCTTTCATCGTCAAGAAGCTCGACGGCGAGGAGAAGCGGTACGACTTCCCCCGCCCCGGTCGGGGATTCTACTGGGAGGCGGATGCGGTGGCGCTGGATATCGCTGCGGGGAGGAAAGAGAACGCCATCATGCCTTGGGCCGAGACCCTCCGTGTTATGGAGATCATGGACGAGACGAGAAGACAAGGGGGTGCTCGGTTCCCCGTCGACAAGGATTAGATCAAAAAAAAATAGAAACTCGTATTTTTCTTCTTCTCAAGTGCCAGTCTGTCGCATAAAGACCGACCGACAACCAAAAACACTGGCTAGCGCTAAAAAGGGAGTGAATATGTTGGGCAAACGAGTGCAGGTACAGGGACTTCGGCGTTGACGTAAGTGAATGCGGAAGGAAGCCCGGGAAAGTGCAAGAAACGAACAAAAATGTACGGAGAGAATGACAAAACATCAGCCGTAATGCCCCCTCCTTCCATCACATAACCTCCCCCACACGAGCACCACGCTCGCCAGCCCAGCCGTCCTTTTCGTAGAAACGGAATACGAGATCGTAGTCTTCAAAGTCATGGACGATCCGATCGATGCGACGGTAGCCGGGAATAGGGTCAACGGCGCGCTGGGCGGCCTTGATGGGCAGTGGTTCATCCTCGGCCATGCCGTAGGGGTTGGAATGCTTGCCCTTGGCCTCGAACAGCGTGACACTGAACCGGCCCGGCTTGAAGATGCCGACGACGTGCTCGATGATCTCCGCCGTCGTGCGACCCGACTGGCCTCCGGGGACGTTGGTCTCGAACGAGGCGAAAGAGCAGTTCGGTTCCGGCGTGACGTGGACCGTGAAGTAGTGCGCCGCCTTGTCCGCCCCCTCCCCTTCCACTTCCCCCTCAATATTCGCTCCGCCGTCCTGCGGAGGGGCGGGGATGACGCCGTTGGCAGAAAAGCCACAGGGGCTGAAGAGGTACGCGTCGACCCTGGCGTCCGGATACTTGCTGGTCGGGTAGACATCCGAGAGTCCGCAGGCGTCCGAGACGACGGTGCCCAGGGCGTGGCCTTCGGTCGTCAGGGCTTCCGCCAACAAGACCTGGTCGGCCTCCTGGCTGGCGTGCAAGTCCGAATCGCTGCCGTTGCTGAAGACGTCGACCACGTCATCGGCCTCGTCATTCGGGTGACCACTGCCGTTGCCACTGGTGGGGATCATGCCGAGACTCTGGTGGGCGTCGTCTCGGGCTTTCTGGGCTTGCGTCGCCTGGTGGCTCGCGACCGCACTGGCGTGCGCCAGGTAGAACTGCTTCGCATTCTCCGGGTCGAGGTCGGTCATGAGAATCTCAAGCGTCTCGTCATTGGCCTCCTCGGGGACCTTGGCGAAACCACCGTTCAGGTTCAGGGCGCCGGTGGGGATCTTGGCAACGAAGCCGACGCCGTCCTCCTCGTTGGGAGTGCGAGGGGGGGTCAGCGTGCTGTTCGGCGACGTGATGTAGAGATACCAGTGATCGCCATTCATCTTGCCCACCATATAGGCACTGCCGCCCTCAAACATGTCGTCCAGGTATTTGACCTCCTGCTTCCAGCTGCGGTGAGGGCCTTGCTGCTTGTCCGGAAAGAGGAAGCTCTTGCGGCTGTAGAAGACGCGGTAGGGGGTCGCGGCGGCCTTGATATCGCTGGCCGACTTGGAGTTGTGGAACGGAAAGCCGGCATGCTCGGCGGCGATGTGCAGGAGGCGCTGCAGGCCGAGCAGGAGCGTGGTGGTGCCGCAGGTCTTGAGGATGAGCTTGTGGGGGAACACGAATAGGCTCGACTCGGACAGCAGGTAAGCATCGACCGTCTCGGATTCGAGGACGGACAAGATCTTGCAATTGACCATGTCGAGCATGGTGACCCAAGTGTCGGCGGAGACGGCCTTCAAGCCATTGGGCTTGGCACCGGGGGGGAGGGCGTTCGGGCCGGGCGCAAACCATACTTCGAGGAGCTTCTCGGGGCCTGTGCCACAGTTGGGTTAGTCAATGCAAGTTGCAAGTTACTGCAAGTGCAGTAAATGAACAATGGATGGGCCATTGTGTGGGGAGAGAAAGAAGGGAAAAAGAAAGAAAAAAAAAAGCCCCCAAACGCACCCTCAAAGGCATTGCTAGAGTCCAAGTCGGCCGCCACATCGTGGTTAATGGTGAGATGCGGAGTGGCTCCCGAGGGAGAGAAGGTGTAGTTGTTGGGAACCGAAAGATTGACCATATTTGCCCACTGCAGCTACCGATATAGAGACGAGGGTTATGATGGCGCGGGTGGGAGGGGGTTGTTGTTGTTGTTGTTGTCTCGTGCCGAGTCCGCGGAGCACTAGCTGCCACTCAAACGAAGCTTGACGGCGTCCGTTTGAGAGAGTAGGCCCACAGGAAAGGTGGACTTTAGAAAATGCTGGCGGAGCCAGCTCTAAGGCGAGGGTGGTGATCGGTAACGTCGCTCGAAAGGACGTTAGGGGGGGCGAGCACGGAGGGGGAGGAAAAAGATCCTGATGAGCGGAATGGTGGCTCGCGTTGACAACCTCGTCCTGACAGACACCGATACCTGTGGTGGAGTATCGGACCCAGCAGACGAGGGATTTTGTGTGATCTTATAAGATCAAGGTTTGCAGAGGAGAGAAAAGTCGCGGTGACAGCGTGGGGCGAACGGCTCCTCGTTGGTTGGGGATCTAAGGGTAATAGGCAAGTGTTATCTGGGCCTACGGAGACGAAGGAATTAGCAATTCGTAAACGAGCCCTCTGATCAGAACAGAAAGAGGAAGCAAAATCCAGACTTACTTCGCAGGCTTAGACAGGAAACGCAGAAGATCGATCGGGTTCATAAAGACGCGCAGCAGGCTTTACAACGATGGTCGTCGAGGTCGATAATTCGGTCTACCTGGCGGAAGTATAGGCCGGCCTCGGTGTGTACTTAGACAATGGAGGTCATTGACGTGGAGTTGAAGCTTCAATGTTATTCAAACGCCGTGGACAAGACGGGATACAACGTAAACGTTGGCTTTGCTGTGATGGTGTTAGGTGGTCCAAATGGCGGGGTTATTTCGTCGGCAAATTTGAGGCCCGACGCGGATAGGGCTCGTGTCTGAGAAGACCAGACGCCACCGGTACGGGTAAGCCGTTTTTATGTGTGTTGATTGAGGTGTACCGTGATGTTGCTCGGCTCCGAGGCAAAGAAAGAAGGGAAGAAGAAAAAGGAGGTGCTGAGATTGGAGACAAAGGTGTTGCACGGAGCGTTGCGCTGTTGGAGAACAATAATAAACGGGGAATTATTAAAAAGAAACACGAGAAAATCGTGGCATTCGTACGGAAGACAACCGAGAGGAGTATCTAGTACATTCTACGGAGCGGAGACATGCGCCAGTATGTAGGTACCCAGATACGTAGGCTCAGGCTGCAATGTCCACCGCCAGTTCCTCAATTGGGCCGCCATTGGTTCCATCGTAAGGAGTCGTCACGTCTCGTGTAAGGTACCTGGTATTTTACGCAACGGACATTCTCTTGGTACCCGGTACTTCCAAGTCGCTCTCATTTAGGTTGTCCTCATTTCTGGACCCTAATAACGGACGGTCTCTGCTGCAGCCACTTTTGAGCCATCACTCAGCCACTGTAAGCAAGTTGTCCCTGAGTCTGTGGGACAGGAAAAGTGGGACGAAGCGTCATCCCAACCAATACTGCAATGTGCACGGTGTTTTCTTCTTTCGTCTGCATGTGATACCTACCTTACCTATTTGCTTCGTGTCTCGCAGGTTCTGTGTCCGTGGTTTCGTCTCGTTTCGTAGGACCGACTAATAAGGAACGTACCAACTTGGTTAATTCCAGAGGAGTCACTTTGATCTTTCACAATGACACAAGAGGAACCCCGCTTCAGTGCACCCACCACCTTCGGAGCATCGCCCTCAAGTTTCATGACTTGTCAGAAAGGACAGCAATATAAGTATAAAAAAATCGCGCGTTATTGTGCTACCCTGGCTGCAGCCCAGAACGGGTTTGCATTTCTTTCTTTTTGATTGCGATGGAAGCCTAAGGTATTGGTGATTCGGAATTGATGTATCGGATCCGGTGTAGGAAGTACCTACATAGTCCGGATCGAGGACTCGGGTACCACCAACGGGTTGAACATCATCTCCCTCTGCCCCTCTAGAGCCGTCAGCGCTAGGTTCATTGCGCGATGAAAGAGCACGGTGGAGCGAAGTCCCAACGGTGGTAGGGTGGTAGGGTGGTAGTGGTAAGCGTGTAGGCTTTATGATCGATGATCGAGAATCTCCTCCCCGATGGCGACTTGGGTACAGGAACATTTCGTGGCCGAGATTCCTGCCGTGCACGACCGCCAGTGGACTTCGTAGACAGGGTGCCATCCTATATCCCCACAGAGACCGAGAACTCTCATAGTATAGTCGCATGTTTTTCTTCCTTTTTTTTTATTCGTTTCTTTTTTCTTCCTTTTCCCCCCCATGACTCACCCTTATGCCTCAATGTTTTCTGTGAGCTTCCGAGTAATGCCGGCAAAGATGCGGGCCAGCGAGCACGACTGGTACTTCTCCACCAGAGTCCCCTCGGACGCCGTTGTCTCATCCACCTCAGCCTCCCCCCCAATATCCACCCCGTCAATATTGGTGCCCCGAGGATAGTGTGGCCGCTTGCCCGACTCCACGAGTTCTCCAAACTGCGGATCGATGGGCACGGCACCAAGAAACGGGACGGAAAACTCCTCGGCCATGACCACGCCCCCGCCGGAACTGAAAATGTCGGTACATTCGGCGCAATGAGGGCACACGAACCCGCTCATGTTCTCCACCACACCGAGCACCCGGATCCCCGTCTTCTTGCAAAAGTTGAGCTCCTTGCGCACGTCCGCCGTCGCCACGGCCTGCGGCGTCGTCACGACCACCGCCCCGGCGACCTGGCCCGGGCGCGCGTCCCGCAGGAGCGTCTCCGCCAGCGAGATGTGCTCGTCGCTCGTTCCCGGCGGCGTGTCGATCAGGAGGTAGTCCGTCTCGTCCCACAGCACGTCGGAGAGGAACTGGCGCACCATGGCCGTCTTCTTCGGCCCTCGCCATACCACGGCGTCACCGCGCCGGGGCAACAGGAACCCCAGGCTCATGGCGCGGAAGGAACCGATGCCCTTGGCCTCGTTCGCCTCGTGCACCGGCACCGGAAGCCAGCCGCCCGGCGCCTGGGTGACCTTGGACGCCTCGATGGAGAGCATCCGAGGGATGGAGGGGCCGGTGAGGTCGACATCAAGGACGCCGACGGAATAGCCGGCGAGTGAAAGGGATAAGGCGAGTTGCGTCGTAACCGACGACTTTCCCACGCCACCCTTGCCGGAGAGTACCTACCAGGTGTTTATGTCAACTTGGGTTGCGATACGAAGGTAGAGTAAGGGGGGTTCAAGTTACCAGCACAATATGTTTTACTTTGGATAATGACATGTCGGAGAGAGGTTCAGGTTCATCCGTCTCATTCAATGACAGTTGACAGTCGAAGCTCGTAATTTTTCTACACCTTGTCCTGGTTTTCAAGTTTCTTGATTCTCGATTTTGATTCTCCCGTTCTCTGTTCTTGAGAAGTGAGATGATGCCCGTTAAGGAGGTCGAGGAGGGTAGCCAAAAAGATTGGGAGTTGGACTGGTGCGTGATTTGAAATCAAGCAAATGACTCCAGTTGGTTACCGTAAATAATCACCTACTCGCCGAGTCGCCGTAGTCGGCTGGCTTTGAAAACCGCCACTAAGGTAGTGGCGGTTGCGGAAAAGTACAATCTCTCTCAGCTCTGGAGTCACTACCTAAGGTAAGGTACCTTATATTTGCCTGTATTTCTAAACGCCTGTATCAGCTCCAAAATTGCCCGTGTGACTGAGAAAAAATGGCTCTAATAGGACTGTCCTCGTGTTGAACGCGTTATTTACGAAGTAGCTTCGTAGCTTGCCACATGTGAAGAATTCATCACCGAACCGGCGAATACCTATGGGACGTACCTGGGCATGGAGCTTTCTGAGAGATAAGATAAGTAATAAGTTACGTACATTACGGTGCGGAATAGGCTGGGCACCGTGCGGATACTGTACGGAGTATTCGTAAGTCCTACCAATAATTCCTCCGGACTCCGTATATGATTATTACCTAGATGGCGACAAAGACATCGCGGACAAACAGACCACCACCTGCACTTTGCCCACCCACAACCAACCTCCCAGCTTGTCTATATCCATACGGACGTATACGGGCCTTCTATTCACGGCTCGCCGCTGAGAGCTTTTCAATAACGCGTTGTGTGGCATTTGTGCGTGCAGTGCACCCATCCGATTGTTTGGATCGTGAGCCTTCACCTACCGGGCATCCGACAATGTCCAGGTAACAACGCAACCAAGTCCCCCGAGACGGCGTCAATGTTGCTATTCGTGTCCCATCACCATGAACCACCATAACCTTCAGCAAAATGGAAGATCCTTGGGGCTCACCGTGGGAAACTCATGACGTCGAAGATTCCGGCGCAACCGCAACCCCAACGGCGACCTCGGTCGACGCGAACCCCGAACCACCGCCCCCGGCTTTCTTCACACCTTCAACCAGCCTCACCATACCCACCGGCCACTCTGTCTGGGTTGAAGATGACCCTTTCGGCGAGTGGGCCGCCCCTGAGCCCTCCTCTCAACCGATTCCCGCGTCGGGTTGGGGGATTTGGGGCGGAAGAGATAGCCAGGCTGATTCCAGTCAATTGACGCCAAGGTACGAGTCGAAATTGAAGACGAGTAGCCCGAGGTGGCCCAGCAGCCGGTCCACCTCACCGGGTCAACCATCATCGCGGTTACGCAATCGATCGTCGTCCGACCAACTATCCCTTGATCCGTGGGCCTCCGAACCATCGACCAACATCACCAACAAGAGAGGTGCCTTCGAACCCTCTGCGCCGTTGCCGCAGATCCAGCATTTACCTCTGCTGCCGGAAAACGCGGGCCTCGACGCCGAGCGTCCCGTCAAACGACAACTTCTTACATCCACCTCCGTCGAAGACGGATCGCTGTCGATCGATTCGGCGGAAAAGAACCAGGGAAACGTGGACAGACCACAGTCTGACCAGCCTCTACCCAAGCCCGACTTACACCCGGCGGCGGTTAACTCACCGTCTAAGCCATCTGCATCCGAGTTCGACCTGACCGAGGTGACACTACACGAGCCTCCGTCTCTCACACCACCTGCCGATGATGCCGTGCCGAATAATGCTGGCGACCGTCAGGTGTCGAAGGTCCATCAACTTGTGGAGATGTACGATGACATCGCGAGGAAAAATGCGACCGTTCATGAATCACCGCCACCATCCAACCAGGGTGTGAGTGCGAGCCAGCACTCTCCGATAAATGGGACCCCGTCTCGGGGCGGTGTCTCTATCCAGACCAAGTCTGAAAACACGCTGTCCTCCTTTCCCACCACCGAACATGAATCTTCTGATACGGAACTCCCGACTTCGTTGGTCCAGGATGTACGCAGCGAAAAAGCCGAGGGAGATGCCCCGGAAATTGTCCCTGATACCATAACCATTGACCACGAGCCTTTTTACGTCGACTACAGTCACTTGGACCACCTCTTTCCTGGCCTAGAGAGCAACAACGTCACAGGGTCAGACGTGGAAGTCCCAGACCACATAATCACGGATAATTATGAAAGTATATCAGAACGCAAGATGTGGTATCGTATCTCTAGATTTGGTCCTTCGCGGACACGGGATTTAGGGGAAGACGATCATTTTACGGTGGTAACTTGGTCGACCTCGACCGTGCGGTCGGAGACCATACAGATCGTGCGTCGGTGGATGGAAGAAGACTCCATCTGCGGGCGGACGTTCCGCGGAGGGTTGGCCAACGGGGCCAACGGACGCTCCTTTGGATGGGGCCAAAAGGCCACCCCGGTTGATTTCCAGAGATTCTTCAGTCCGAGGACGTCGACATTCGCGGGTCGTCCAACCCCCGTGTCAGCACTGCCCGCCGATGCCCCTGATTCTCATTTGGATACGCACTCGTTGGATCGGTCGCCTGTCAGCATGTCACCCTCGACTGTCGGCACGGAGGCCCCGAGTAGTGCGACGTTCGGCTGGGCGAACCACTCCAGTCCCCCCCCACATCAACAGGGAGTATCAGCGTCATCAGGGATGCCTGCGGCTCAGCCAAAGGCTCACCGAACCATACCCCCTCCCCAGCCACCCGAACCTCTTCCCAAGACAGTCGGGCAGAAAGAAATGGACGACGATGAATGGGGTGACATGGTGACTCCTTCGACCACCGAGTCCCGGCCTATCTCTACTACGAACGACGGTAGCCCGGCTGGTAGGCCTTTGTCAGGTGATTCATCTAATAATAGGCATGACGATAAGCGAAGCGTTGATTCAGTCATCTTGGCGTCAGGCAGCTCCTCCTGTACGGAAGACGCTGATCAAGTGCCCCGGGTCATACCCGACCATAATCCACACGGAACCAAATCCGATACCGAGTCCACATGTAGCCACAGAGATCTCGAGCTGAGTGGCGACACGACGCATTCTTCTCGACCTTCATCTTCCCACGTCGAATCAACCCCGCAGCAGCTGGTAGAGTCGCCCGCAGGGCTTACAGGGGAGCTAGAGCCAGCACGTCGAATTATAGAATCTCTACCGGACCTGTCGTACATGCTGCGATAGAGTGCGCAAGGCGACATGGTCCATGGGGTTCAGACTGGCAAACCATGCATGTTTCATAGCCATATATACCCATCTATCTGAAGTACCGGCCCAAATTCGGAGCTGACTCTCTCACTTTCTTGAACGGCCTTTCTGATTGCTTTGTGTTATGTAGCACTATCGCAGTATCTAACCAGATGTTTTGGACCATGAATCGCCGTAGGGCTGAGGACTAATTAATGAACGGAATAATACCTAAGGTACATACTTCAAAGATAAGGTACCTAGGTACATTTGTCATCGACGGGCTGATTGGGTGCTTATCTTATCAGACCCCCCACCGTGGTACCCCGCGACACAAAAATTCCGAGCTAAGTGCGTGTGCCGCTGCCTAGGGGACCGCTTTTGGACGCTAGCGGCTATAGGTTCTGGCCCCCCCGAGCACCCCCGGTAAGTATAAGTCGCTAAGAAAATATATACTCTGGAGCGGCACGAATATACTGCCTGCCTATGGTGGTACTTGTTAGCGCCCTCGAGGACTAATACAGAAAACGATAAACTGGCTAAGGTTAACGGAGTTAAAAGGTCACTCTCTCCCAGGAACTACCTGAGTCCTTCCCTCTCTAAATGTATTATACCCTATACTCCTGTCGAGTCCCTCTAAGTAAGCCGCTTATTTCGTAGATATAGATATAGACCTACTCTTACATCGCGTTTAGCAGGACTTCGCTAATAGCGACCTATCGGACGCGTTAGAGATTATACTAGACGAGCTACACGCCGCTACAGAAAAGGCTAATACTCGCCGTCCTATTAGGCCGCGATATTCGGAAGTATACGGCCGTAATATCGTCCAGGGCCAGCGACGATAGGAGAAGTTCTGTCTCTGGATAAAGTACGAAGAGGGTTAGCGGGATAAGCTTAAGGACCTAACCTATAATAAGCGAGGCCTGCTTAAGAGCTTTATTAAGTATTGCCTCTAACGACGAGGCTCTAAAGTCATAGCTAAGTTAACGATTAAGAGGTATCTCTGGTAGACCTATATAGTCTATAAGAAGTACACGGACCTTACCGTCGATAAGACCCTACGAATACACGCGATTAAAATACTGCCGACTTTATTAAACGTAAGTATAAGCTAAGGACTAAGCCGAAGACTAAGAACTATATTAGACCCGATATACACCTTTACCTGTCTTACTTTCTATAGGTACGCGACAAGAGGAGATAGTTTAGTATTAGCCTAGACCGCCTCGACGATACGACTCTCCGATACTTCCTTATATTTACCGGCGCTTAACGCTATAAGCTCGTCCACTATAATATTCCAGAATAGAAGGTATTAAAAGAAGAATACCATGATCCCTATAACGTCTTCACCGATCTAAGCGAGGACGACGACGTTCCGCCGCCTTAGGGTCCCTGCTAGGTATACGGTAAAGACGATATCAGGATAACCCTAGCGAAAAAGGTCCTTTACTAGGAGGATATTAAATTATAGATTATATAAGATCCCTTTAATAACGGCGGTAGAGACCGGCTTACTATATCGGTGCTCTTCCGATTCTATAAGGGCTACAAGAGGTAGTAACGGCCTACTAACTTCCTCTTTATTAAGGAAGACCTGCCCGTGATCTGCCCTGTCTTTTACTTACTCGCGAAGGCGCTAGCCGAAGACGTTATCGCTAACAAAGGGTACTCTTAAGCCAAGAACTTCTTTCGTACCAAAATTACTAAGCGTGGTGTGTACTTTACGTGAAAGGAAGAGTTTATGTATAAACCCGTTTTCCGGTCGTCCGTTAAGTCGCTAAAGGGCTATATAAAGTCCGATAAACCCCTTACGATAAACTAGCTAGATAATAACTCTAATAGACTAGGTAAGGCAGCTAGTTTACCGGATAATCTAAAGAGCTATGATTACTAGCGAGGAAACCTTAAGTCGATTAACGGTTCGTGTTACGTAACCTAGCCTTTCTACTCTACCTCTAACCATTTTCGTAGCTAATTACCGCTTAATAGTCCGGAAATAGGTCGCCCGATATAAAGACGACGGCACGTTCTAAGACTATTATAATAACGCCCGGACTAACGTTATTACCTAGGATACGTTCCTTAGCCGCGGCACTAAGTCTCCGTACCTCGCCCTCTTTAACTAGTTCGGTATTTAGGTCGATAAGGATACGCTAATAGGCGTTATCGATAAGATAATACGAGTTATCAGACCGAGTGCTAAGGTCCGTATACTAGATAAGCAGGTCTTATCGCTACGGACTACCCTTAAGTCCCGCTACGGCTAGGCGTACTTAGTAACGGGCGTAGATAAGGCATAATACGACGAACTGCTTAAGTAACGTAAAGCTGCCGCCTAGAAGCACCGGCGTAAGGTAGCGGAGAGCACGCGCCGCTATTACTTGAATTTAAAGAACGACTAAGAGCTCGAAAAGTAGTTATACGGTACCGGTTATACTAGTAATTCCCCCCTGCCCGCTATTATACTTATCTAGCCCGAGCGGAGACGTATAGCGGAACTACTCGGCGACCTTGATATTAACCTATTAGAAGATAAATTAGTCTAGCGGAAGATCGACGTTATTAATGCCTGGGTGGCTCTTACTTAGAAGGTTAAGGTTAAGGAGATATAACCGGAATAGATCCCCTTAAAGCCGTTACCCACTATATCCTTCCTATTATATTCTCCCTAGTAAAAGCCGCCTTATACGAGGCTGATTAGAGACGTGGCACCGACGCTAATATAACGTCCGCTCCCTTCCTAGGTCGGGATTAACTATAGTAAAGAGAATATAGATATAGGCGTAATACCTGCTATTAAGCCCTCGCCTACCCCCGTTACTGCTATTAAGCCGTCTATACCTCTGGATATTACTCCTACCCCGATTAAACCGGCGCTTCTAAGTCCTAGGATTATTATTAAGCAGCCCTCTAGCCTAAGAGAGGCTACGCCGTGTCCTAAGGGGTATTAGAAGCCCGATCCCTGTATCTTCTACGGACGTATATTCACGCGAACGACTATAATATAGAAACACGTTAAAAGCTATCTTAAGATAAGAGGAGACGGCCCGTTACTATATCTAGTGCAGACGTGTAAGGAAAAGAGCGTGATACTAGACGACGACTTTGCTTTCCGCGTATATACGTTTTATAAACACCGAGTACGCCTTAAGCCGGTTATTCGACTTAAGATAGGTGGGGCGGCGGGTAAAATAGCGCCGTTACTAATTAGGATTATTTTGAAGAAGATAGCGTGCACGTAAAGGTCTATATAGTAATATAAATTAATTCCGTATAATCGCTGCCGTTCCTATTACTATAAAATAGACTAAGTACACGATATAATATTAGCGGGGTATTAGTCGGCTTATAGCCGCACGGTTTAAGGGTGCGGCAAAATATATACCCGACCGGGCTTATAACTAAACCAGATAGCCCTATACTAGTTCTAAGTCACCTTAAGGGTGTTATCGATAGTAAAATATCCTATCTTATAGGAGGCTTTTAGCTACGTGATTAATACTTGAGTTACTTTTATAGGTAAAGCTTCTAAGCCTTACACTTCGCTCTATCTCGTAACTGCTAATCTATAAGATCGTAGACTCGCCGGCCCGGCCTAAATATACGTAGTTCTATACTAGTACTTATTCCTTTGAACTTCCTGTATACGATATACTCCCTCGCGCCTCCCTATTAGTGGCACCTTGCTATATGGCAGGTGGGTAAACCAAGTCTACTAGGAAGGGTAAGGGGCTTAGGTGCGTGTAACGGGTTAGGATAGTAAAGGTCGATCTAGGTAAACCTCGTTACGAGCCTAGGTAGTAAAACCTACTACGCTACGAGGTTAGGGGATAGTAAACGACGGAAACCTTTACTAGTATATAAGCTACGTGGCCGAGGATAGTAAAGCCTGAATTACTTTACTAGGCAGGGTTAGGACCGTTTCCTAGTTAAGTCCGAGTTTTATTTTACCTAGTAAACTAATAGTTACCTACTTACTAGATAATATATTATATTTAGTTAACTAGTATAAAGCGTTATAGGTTTATATATATCTTTACTACTAAACGAATAACGGCTGGTTTACTAGTAGATATTCCTTTATTACTAGAAAAGCGACCGACCCTTTACTAGAAAGGAGTAGCTTCCTAGGGCGGTAAACTAATCAGCGCGATATTCGTAGTAAACGGTTCCACGGTTACATAGCAAACTTCACAAAGTGTAAGACATTTATCTAAGTAAACTAAAAGCAGAAAGTTAGCTAGTAAAGTTCCTAATTACCTTCCCCTTCTTACTAATTCTTAGGGCCCCTATCTCCCTTACTTAGATTACTGGTTAAGGTTTATCGACACGAAACGGGTTTCTATTCCCTGAAAACGGTCTTTACTCGTTTACTAGCTAGCTAATATACTATAATAAGACGATCGCGTTATAATTAGCGAGTACTCGGCGAAGAGTCGGACTAAGCCGCGCACGGTTTACCTTAGTCGAGTACGTGTCTCCTCGGCCCACGACCCTCGCCGATATCATTAAAAGAGTGCGTGGTTTTTAGTCTCCCGAGTGGATAGATTGTAAAAGAGTTAGTATTTATATAAATAAGGAATAGCACTCCTATAGCCTTTCGCCCTTCGTCGAATCGAGAATAAATGATTGCGGAGTGGAAGGGTTAAGGCTATCTTGCCTAGAGTTTCTGCTACTTAATTTCTTAATAAAATAAAATGAAAAGATTAAAACTAATCCTAAGCAGCTCGACTTTTATAAATGGCTCACCCCATAGATAGAGTATGCTAAATCCTTCCCACTAGCGGATCCCACTAATAGCCTCCTCCAACGACTTAATACACTACTCCGATAACTATAATCGCCGCCCACGCTATAACTGTTTAGGAGATAATGTTTCCCTTAAATAAGTGCCTTCTGAGTTACGCGAATTAATTGCTATCTATTCCACGTGGTGCTAATTAATACTTTTCTAAGCCGTCTAAGTCACTTCACGCCCTGACTGTAGATGACGTGGTAGGAAGCCACGTTTCCGGGTATAACTACTGAATTCTGGACCTGACCTCTTTCTCTTCTTCCCTAACACATCAGGAAAGTGGTGGGTCTTGCCAAGCATAATAAGCTACCTACCTAAAGTACTAACCTATTTTGTATATACACTTCGAGTACCTATAACGTCTGCGAAA